AACTGGCTTCTTCAAGGGAATATGTAATATATAATACGCAGTTACTAAGGTCTCATAAATAATTGTTATTTAGTTAGAATTATATAAATAGCATTGTGTTAAGAGTCAAATTACATGTTGTACAGTAAAATATTAATCATGTAAAAAACGACTAGAGCTTATTCTGTCTTTAAAATTGCATGAAGGAAAACAAGGGAGAGTAAAAAACCCCAACTCCCTGTACATAAGAGAGATAAGATAAACTGTCCAGCAACCTACCTGTTTTGACTCAAATTTAAAGAATATTTTTGCAGCTAAATGAATGTTACAAACCTATTAATCTTGCAGTATCAGTCTTGCAGTATCTTGCAGGCTAAAGGGTTAAATTTTCCTCTGGAATTGCACCAGGTTCTGTAAAACTGGTATTGTCAACTGGACACTGGTGTATAGAAGGGTCCTTAAAATGGTTATTTCCTACTGATCTTGTACTCTTGTTGAAGAAAATTACATAATGCTCCAAAACTAAGAAGAGCTTTTACTATGGCGACTGAATGTTCGGCAATTTTGGAGGGCAGATATAATAAAGTATCCTTTTTTTGGAATATTTTTTATTATTTTTAACAAACATACAAAGAAACAAAAATGAGAGTAATAATGACATCATATCTCTTAGATCACCTCTTACATATATATCTATATATCAATTTCCCATCATATTATCAGTAATTATTTTTGTAAATCTATGTTTTACAATCAAGATTTTTAGCAATCCTAGTCTATGAGTAATTATGGATATATCTTATACATAATCACAACATTCTATATTTTTTGGTTCTCTATTAATAACAAAAACAAGCTCTCTCCTGATTAAACATTCTACAATAATCTTCTACAAACTATAATTGTCTATTTAACCAAGTTATATACCCTTTCTATTTGTGCTAGTTTATTTTGTGTTAATTATTTTGATGTCAACAAGAATAGATTCTCTAGTCTGCTTCAGGTATCAAACCACCTTAATACCCTAATGAATTACAATCCTCTGTTCTTATCCTTACTGAAATACCTTCTAACCAAATTTATTCAAATAAGAATCCACATATATACTCTAGATCACTGTATTTCCTCTAGGTCAATGACTGTAGTATAGCAGTTAATCTCTAATATTTTATATTCTTATATTGTCTTCTCTTAAAATCTTCCTTAATTTTATTATGGGCAATTTTATAAATGCACAAAAATACATTCAATTATAACAAATATTAACTAATTGCAAATGCAGTTTTCCCTAGCCCATTTTACACAAAAACAGAGATTCTCTGGATCAGTCTTATTTAAAAAGCTTTATTCTTTTCTTCTTCTTGTAACTCCTTTTTTTCAATAAGATCATCATTCTGTGCCTCTTTTCTTTATAGATGGAGGGGATTTCTTTTAACATTTGCCATCTACATCCAATTTTTAAGGTGGCTGAGGTTTCCATGGCTTCTGTTTCATCTTCTCTTTGGAATATAGCTTTGAGGATTCCAGAGTTTGATAGTCTTTTAGTAGATCTGTTGTTCTCACTGTACATTTGATCAACTTGATTGCATAATTTTTCTGTGTCCTGCACTTTTGAGTGTTGAAGATCCTTTTCTCTGTAGGTTGAGTCAGCTTGGCTATAATATTGTCCTGCATTTTGTATAATTTGATGCTGGAATTCTCCTTTGTAGGTTAAGTCCACAAGATTATAAAGCTGTTCTGCTGTTTGAAGTTGAGGTTCCTTTATCTGCATTGTAGTTTGGCTTATTTTTGCAGCATATTTATCCATTGCCGGTTCCAAAGCTACTTTAAATGCCAGGTGACTTCATTCACAATCATAGCCCGAAACTGCTCCCAAGACACCTGCAGCTAGTTAATTTCTTCGGAACTCTCTAGGCGTACATCATTTGGCATTTTTCTTTTTAAGTCCTGTCCCTCCATTTTAAAATAGTATCAAAAGTCCCAGCACAGTCCACACTCTCTGCTAGTTATTGTCAGTAATCTTTTCAAAGCTGACCATGTTTAGAGCTGTTGGCAACTAAGGATCTTACAGCACAAGTCAGATGCTTACAACTCCACTAGGAACACTAGACATAATAAACTCATCCGTTCTGAGGAATGAAGCGTGATGTCATAAGCAGCCTGGAAGGATGTGGTGGGATGTCACTTTCTTCTTGGATCATGTTTAGAAACTGTCACCATCCGTATTGTCTTACTTGCACTTTATGTTACTATAGGAGTTTTACTGTATTTATTGTTTTATTACATTTTATCTCGTGTAAGCTGCCTTGAGCCAGTTTGCCCAGCAAGGCGGGATATAAATGGAAATAAATAAATAAATAAATAAATAACAAGTTGCCACAAAGTAACAGAGTCAACTCTAAATCACTCTCTTTCTTTTTCCAAAAAAGATTTTAAAATCCTTTTATAGAAGCTCAAACAAGAGTCTCCCTTTGCCCCAGAAAGTATTTTTCTCAGCTTTCTTTGTATAAATCATCCAGGCCACTCCGCAAAGGAAGGAGGGGGGGAGTCACCCTCTCTTCTGTTTTTCTTAAATTTTAAAGAGGCTTAAAGAGAAAGTTGTTGGCTTCTTCAATGATGCTTTTCCAGGTACTTATGGTGTATTTCTTCATCGATTCACGGATGAAGCTCAGATTAATTCTCTTGATTCAGAGCGTACACAGCTGGTGCAGTTATGGCTGCCATAACTGTGCTTCTTCGTTCTTTGCTTCGGGACGATCCAGGGCTTCCACCCACTTTAGCTGCAAACGGGCCCCCCGGATCGAGTCCTTTGCACCAGGATCCCCTGAAAACTCCTCTAAATAGGACAAAGAGCCGGTGGCATCCAGGAGGAATTCCTGGTGCTGACCTGTCACTGAGCCATAGCTCTGCCCCCTCTTAAAGTATCATACTCTAATAGAACATGCAGATGCTCATATCATACAATCGAAACCATTGAAGATATGATTATGGAGTGCCCTATATTCAGTGAGTTGAGGGCTAATTTAGTCACCCCTTTACTTAAAGGTATGGAACTGCTAAATGTGCGAGCCCAGGTGTCATGGCTACTATTGGATACCAATGATCGTGTCACCCTCTTAGTGGCAAAATTCATAGGCACAATAATCAAATATAAGAGAAGTAATTCTGAGTAAGGTCTTTTAAAATATTTTCTTTGGTTCTAATTTCTGCTTAAGGTGATAGCTGTATGAGCAGTACTAGATAGATAGAGATAGATAATGCTATTAGTCTATTCCATTTTTTAAAATCTATGTCAGATCTTTGTATTAATTTTCATGGGAACCCATCCTTTTGTAGGCCTTGAGAGTGTGTTGGGCTGTTGTCAGAATTTACCATATATGTGTATGTATGTATTTTATTGCTAGTTTACTGCTTGATTTATAATAATCTATTAATTAAATTAAATGACTCTTACATATGAAAATTAACCATGAAAAAGATAAGGGATAAGATAGAGGATAAGATAAAGATCAGTGCACACATTATAGTTGCTGCAGGGTTGCCACCAGAAACAGCCTTCCTATGGTGAGTGATCTCACCCAAGCCTTCATGTTTAGAGCAGTTTTGTCACACCTCGACTTCTGTCACTGTGTTGTAAGACTACTTATGTTGAGCAGCTGCCAGAAACATCAAGCAACAATGCTGAGTTCACCACATGGTAGAGTGATCCACATAGAAACTAGTTTGAGAAACTACACCCCAGGTGGCAATTGCTTGCAATTGAGAAACTTGTTTTTCATTAGTATTGCTGTAGTGCTTGTGGTACATGTAGTGCATGCATAACCTTTGTAGTCCATACTTTATATTTATGATTAAGTTACATCGTCAGTATTTCAAAGTGATACTTAAAAAAAACTCCTCAGACATATATTATTATAATCCAAAACATTCTAAATGATATGTGTTGATGTTAATATTCTACTAAGATGTATTTTTGAATAAAACATTTAATGCCATAATGATAATTTTATTGAATATAATTCTGTATAGTACAGAACCACCATACAATCCCTACATGTAATCCTAATGATGTTTGTTTGCAAAATTTGCATGTCCCAATCCAGCACAGTCTGTTTTACAAGCAGGTCAGCCTTCTTGATTGTATTACATATATAGAAAGGTATGGGATGGTCATGGATGGAATTTATATCTAGCACCCAGGATGTTATTTTGTGTGAGCTCACTTATGTGAATATGTGGTTAGCCTTGTTTGCTTTAGCGATGCTGTTGACCTGTTTAGGGGGAATGGTATTGATTTCAGAAACACTCTCTTGTTGCTTCCCAAATGAGTTTTCAGCACTAGCAAATTGGATAGCATCCATTGTTTGTTGAACAGAGGAGATCATTACAGTCCACTGGTGTTTCTACATCAAGACCACAGTATTTGTTCAGTATAGTATCATTATGAATGGACTGGCAGCTACACAATCAAATATTTTAGGCTGTTTTAAAGGAAACTTCTAACTTGATCACTTTTCTATTTTTTAAGGAACTGTGGCTGCTGCTGCTGGTCTTCAACCTGGACAGTGCATAATCAAAGTGAATGGAATTAATGTCAGCAAAGAAACCCATGCAAGTGTTATTGCCCATCTCACAGCCTGCAGGAAATACAGACGTCCAATGCATGTAAAGTTGCTGCTTAGTTCGTTTATCATAGACAGTGTTGCTCTCTTCCTTTTCTGAAAATACATCAACTCAGTTTGGGGAATGAATGCGAATAAATATAATTAGGATAGCACTTCACAGTGAATTGTATCAAAGCCTTTTATCTGAACTAAAGCTGTAATTTGAGGCACACATATTGGAACTAAATTAAACCAAAGGGAATGCTTCCATTTCAAGTAAATCTCCTTCAGAGCAGGAGATAGAGATACCATTCTGAGTTTCTACTCCTTTCTGTCATTCAGAGAAGATTATCTATAATTGAAGGGACTTCTAGGTGAAACCTGAGAGAAAAAAATGTAAAGAATATTGAGAGATTTAACTTCACATTCAAAAGATGTTCTTCAACAACTTCTTCAATAAGTTCTTCTAAGAAGGATTTTAGAGGCAAGGCAAAGGCTACATAGAAAGCTTTTAGAAGGGGCCTCAAATTATGATTAAATCACAATTTATTAATGTTTGGATACTTTCACACTGGTGCAGGACAGCTCTAGAATCATTCTAATGATCTTTGGGATTCATTATGGGCTTACAGGGTTGTCAGTAAGTATGTGTGAAAACAGTCATGCTCTGCAATGGTACTTTCTCCTGGTCCTAAACACCTAGCAAAATCAGCAACATCAGAATTTAATATCCTAAATGTACGGACTTCAGATTATCTTTTTCTGTTTTACAAATATTCAGAAATCCACAAGAGACTATGTCAGCATTTCTGTCAAGAAAGAGTTGCACTAGGAAGTAAAGGTTTAGAAAACCTTTATTATGATCAGTCTTTGTACAATAGCACTTCCATCGAATGCAAGCTTGTTTTGTGAAGAAAATGTGTTTTGAATCTTTCAGGAATATATTTGCAGTGATATTATGAAAGGGAAGTAAATTTAAAACCTAGTTTAATGTTTCACATGGAAGCAACATACCAATACTCTGATTCTTAGTGTTCTAGCTCAACTTTTATTTCATCCCACACATTTCCCTTTGCAGACAATGTATTCAATTCTGTCAGAACATTGGTTATTTTTGTAGTTCATCCTGCTGCAATAAAGCAGGGGGTGATAGAAAATCCTGCGTGGGAGAGAATGCATCTGTGAGTCAGTATGGATTGATTTTTATTTTTAAAAATAAATTTTAAAAATGGAGTCACATTTTAACATTTTAGATTCTAGCAACTATTGCTACATGATTAATAAGGGGAAATATGGGTTAAAGGAACTGTGGAAAAGCTAACTAGGCTGGAAGAAATGTCTGTAAGTCCTTGGTGCTTATAAGTCCATGATTTCCTTACTAAAAGTCTATTAATGGTTGGAGTGAACTCTGTGTAACACCCAAGAAGCAGCAGCATAGATTGTACAGCTTGAATTAGAAAAAAAAAGGTCTGTTGAAATCATTTGTGGATGAAAAACTTTGACTGAAGTAGTTAACATGAAATAAATTCTCTGGATAAATGTTTTTTTTTTCAATCATAAGAAACTCCTATTGATATGAGAGTCATCATTTTAGAAGAAGGTGCATAATGAAGCTTGAACTAAGACTGCCTTTGAATTATGTGCAATAATATGTAATATAGCCATTAGCATTTTGGTTTGAATGGGAACCTATGTGAAACTATTTCTTTAAGGGTGAAAACCATCATAAAGATGAAAATGTGCTTTTGAGGGGAGAGAAGGGTCTTTGAATCCTGTTACCACTTATTTCCCCGTCCCCCCAACTGTTACAGTTGGATCCACTTCTGCATTAGTGCCATTTTTAGTTATTGTTAGAATTCTTTCTTAGTAACTCAATGATCATGTAGTAAATGTGGTGATATAAATCATACTAGATATCACTGAAAGCAAATTAAGTCATATTGCCCTTACTATGAATAGGATCTTGGAGAGAAAGGAAGACATCCTCATGTAGTCATCTGGCCAAAATTTCATGTCTTGCTGTACAGTAGTTATTTCATTGCCTTCTCTTACTGCCCTGCACAGCAAACAGGAAGTATTAGGCAATATGGAGACACATTTCCTGTGAAGCAATAAAATAATTATAGAATAGCATGGTGAGGAGTAGGAATAGGTATGAATTGGCTCACGAACTAATGTTGCTGATTAATTTTGGCCAATTCATGGTTTGCAAACTGAAGTTCGTGGCAGGTCAACTGGCACGAACTTTCCATGAACTTTCAGGCGGTTCTTCACCGTTGGTGAATGGATCCATTTCCACACAGACTGTCTCTGCTGAAGTTGAATGTTTACCAAACTTCAGAGCAACAGGGTGGTGGTGGAATTATCCTCCTTGGAAACACTATTGTCAGTTTCAAACTAGTCATGTCAGTTTCAAGAGGGTTCCCCCCCCTTGCCGCTGTTCCTTTGTGTTTACTTCTCATTTTCTTGCACACAACTTGGGGCCCCCCCCCCCGCTTGGAATTGTGACTATGTGCTGTGAGATCAGTCCTTTTAAGCTTGCAATGCCAGTGGCACTGGGTTCTGCTGAGTACTCTATGATTGCACTGGTACTGCCTGGCACTCTGTACATTGTACTGGTTCTGCTGGACTTGCAAATATGCCCCCTTGTTTGTACTGTGATTGAGCTAGCATTGCCACATTGGCACTGGGTTCTGCTGGGCACTATTATGTTGAACTGGTTCTACTGGGCTTGCAAAAATGCCCCCCCTCAGTTTCTACTGCAGAGATTCTCTGGGACTTTGATTCTGCTGGGCTTCTATTGTCCTTGCTTTTTTGCTGTTTTTTTCCTTGCTTAGTCTGATTCTGTGCTTGACATCAGCCCTACTGAACTGACATTGCCACATAGGTACTGGGTTCTGCTGGCCATGCTGTGATTGCACTAGTACTGCTGTGCACTCTACATTGTACTGCTTCTGCTGGATTTGCAAAAATGTCCCCTTGCTCGTATTTTGATTGAGCTGGCATTGCAACATTGGCACTGGGTTCTGCTGAGCACTAGTATATTACACTGGTTCTGCTGGGCTTGCAAACCCCCTTGCTTGCAGTGTGATTCTCTGATAGACATGAGTCGTGTTGAGCTGGCATTGCCACAATGGCACTGGGTTCTTCTGGACACTAGTACATTGCACTGGTTTTGCTGAGCTTGCAAAAATGCCCCCCCTTCAGTTTCTACTGCAGAGATTCTCTGGGACTTTGATTCTGTTCTGCTGGGCTTCTATTGTCCTTGTTTTTTTGCTGTTTTTTCTCCATTGGAGGATGGGGTCACCTTTTGGGGGGGGCTGTAACTCAGACTCCATAAATCCAATCCTCACCAACCTTGGAGGACCAGTTTGGTGTCTGTAGCTTGCACAGGATCCACTCTGTACACTCCTGAACCTCCTGAACCTTCACCTGTCATTTCCCCAGAAAGCAGTTTCCTGGGGTCACCTTCTTTGGGGGGCTGTAACTCAGACCCCATAAATCCAATCCTCACCAACCTTGGAGGACCAGTTTGGTGTCTCTTACTTGCGTAGGATCCACTCTGTACACTCATGAACCTCCTGAACCTTCACCTGTCATTTCCCCAGAAAGCAGCTTCCTGGGGTCACCTTCTTTGGGTGGCTGTAACTCAGACACCATAAATCCAATCCTCACCAACCTTGGAGGAGCAGTTTGGTGTCTCTTACTTGCGTAGGATCCACTCTGTACACTCATGAACCTCCTGAACCTTCACCTGTCATTTCCCCAGAAAGCAGTTTCCTGGGGCTACCTTCTTTGGGGGGTTGTAACTCAGACCTCATAAATCCGATCCTCACCAAGCATGGAGGACAGGTCGAGAAGAGTCAGCCGGAGATCCCCTGCAAGTTTAGTGTCTCTAGCACACTGAGGGCCATTCTATCATGCCATGAACCTCACAAACCAAAGCAGTTTGCTTAACCCCTAAAAGTTCATGATGTTTCATGATTCATGAACTGGGCATGCCATGAACCGTGAACTGAACCGAAACACATTTTCCAAGTTTGTGCCTATCTCTAGTGAGGAGAGGTGTCATAAGTCAGTTTGTGCTGAGTGATGGCTCAGATATTTCAGATGGAGCTATCTGCTAGCTCTCAGCTGGTAATTGAACAGCCGGCTGCAGCCAGCTCTGAGCCAAAAGGAGAACAACAAGAGATCAGGTTACTGGCTGATCAGGAGTTACAGCCTACAGCTGAAACAGCACCTTATAGCTCTGAAGCAGTAAACAAGTCTTCAGAAGCCACTCCCAGCCCACCTAGCTCACCCACTCATTTGCAGTGCCAATGCTGTCAGAGATGCTTAGAGTTGCAAGAAAGGAGAAGTGCAAGGCTCATGGCCCATCATCAGCTATGAATTGAAAAGATGAATGAGTAGTTTCAGGATGACCACCAAGGAATTGACTGGGAGTTTAGCTTGTTAAGACCTGGCTATAAATTCAGCTCGGAGAAGCAGCATTGTAGATGCAACAAGTACACTTTGCTACTGAACCACCAACCTTGCTACTATTGGATCTCTGCAACCTTGAGTCTTGGAGTAGAACTGATGATTGGCTTTTCTTGCTGCCTGGAACTCCTTGACCCTGGCCTGTATTTTGATAAACCTGCTCTCTGGAACCCCTGCTTTTTGAACTGAATTTTGGTTACTCTCTGCAACCTTGCCTGTGCTTACTCTCTGCAACCATGCTAGACCCCAGCCTGTGCCTCCTGGGGAAGCTATGTCAGTGCAAGAGGACTGTCTTGGTTGTTTTTGCAATACAGGGATTCATTTTCCATGCTGCTAGGTAACACTATGGGAGTTGTATACCTCCCTCAAATAATTCTGTGCCCTTTCAGGCCCAGCAAATCAGTGAAGCGGGGAGTCCCTCAAAATATTAATTAAAATTTGACCCTATTTCAGCTTAACTCTAGTAAAAATGTCAGCTGTTTTCTCCTGCAAAGCTGTTATGTTATACAATTTTTATGGAGCATATACATTTTAAAATCGCTACTGTTATTTCCCTACTCTGGGCACTCTCAAGATTCTATTCAATGGGTATATAACAGCATTGAGAGTGCCCAGGAAGAGCTTCAGAAAACAAATTCCAAACCCTTAGGGGATGAAGGAGAAGATGCATTGGACTGTAAAGTGGAAGGTAGGAGAGCATTTTTCCCCTTTGTTAGTAAGTTAAATGAACGGCAGCTTCGAATGTTACCCTGAAGTAGAGGGGGGAAAAGTCTAAGAGGCATACTCTTTTTTTCAGTATAATGACTGAAGAAGAAAAGTTGTGTGCTTCTGCAGTGCGATGCAAGGGCAGAACATGAAAGGAAAGTTGATTTCACTCATGGTGAAAGAGACACTGTTTCCCTTTACTGAGAAATACCATGTGTGAGAAGTCCCTGTGTGAACCACCAACATGCTTGTTTATTGAACATCCAAAGTTATTTAAAAATGATTTCTAATTGATTTTTAATATTTGTAAAATTTCAGCTGCTTTGTAGGTACTTGTATGGAGAGTTGGAGTATAAATATGTTAAATAAATAATAACATGTTAAATTCCAGTCCACATCACATGCTTGGTTGAATAAAACATCCCCCCCACACCTGTAATTGCCTCCAAAATTAACAAGAAAGCAGGGCAAAGCAGATTCTTCTATGTTGCGGCGTCTAGTTAAAAGGTCTTTTTCTGGTGGATGCCAATTTTGTATCTACTGAGATGGAATTCTGAGCAGGCCCCCCTAGCTACTCTTGAACTGTGTAAAACCTCATATAGGAGTAGATTTCTCCAAAGCTACTCAAGCTTTACTTTAACAGTTAAAAACAGGGTTTCAAGCTTTCAAAAGCAGCACCTTGAATTGTGCCTAAAACATAGAGGCTTGTTGACTGCTTGTGGACCCAAGAGTCCTAAAAAAAAAGCCCTAGTATAAACTTCTAGTGCAACATTCCAATATTGGTAAAATACATTTCTAACTTTTTATTGTCATTTAGAGGCCACCTTGAAAAAGAAAGATGGGGGAGATTTAAGATATGATATTTGCTTCTTCTTGGGTAAAAAGTTGCACCTTGACTGAACTTGCAAATTCTACTTTAAACAGTATTCTGGAGCAGAACACATAGGGGAGGAAAATTTGATCAAAGGGCTTTTTGCTACCTTTGCATTTCCCTTCTTTTGAACTTTTAACCATACTATCCTAACAGAATTTGTCCATCTCTGATGTAAATGAGGAATTTGGGTTACCTTTGGATTAAGAAGATTGCTAGAAGTTCCATGATTATGACAAATGCATGACAATCAGAGGTGAACTTGTCATCCTGTCATCCTGTGTTCCCGTCGAAGACAATATTGGGGTTTCAGCCTCATAGCTGGAATGTTACAGTGATAATTACATTACAACTGGTTTCTTCACATTAACTTACCTGGTTAAATCATTAATTTAATTATGTTGGTCTATAAATATAATGAAAATTATTAAAAACAAGTGGGGAGTTAAAAAAAGGTGATTTAATTTTTTTTAGAAGTAATTGACAAATTTAACACCATGGCAATTATTGATGGACGAAAGGACCATGTCAGTCTGACTGTGGATAATGTTCATCTGGAATATGGTGTGGTTTATGAGTATGACAGTACTGCTGGAATAAAATGCCATGTTTTGGAGAAGATGATCGAACCAAAGGGCTTTTTTACCTTGACAGCAAAGGTAAGAAACATAAAACGTTTTTATTTCTTTCTATCATTTATATCCTGTCTTTTTTTTTAAGTAATCCTTGGGGTAGTTTGTACATTATTTTAAAGCATGTGGTAATACTCCCCTCTACACAACAAAAGGAAGAAAATAATATTCTTTCTGCAGAGTAAACTAAGTAACTATGAAAACAAGGTTTGAGTTCAGTTGCATGCACACAAAAGCTTATACCCAAAATTAAACTTTGTTGTCTTTAAAGGTGCCACTAGACTCAAACTTTGTTCTGTTGCTTCAGACCAACATGGCTACCCACCTGCATCTAAGTAACTATGAGTAGCATTTCACTTCCCAAAATCCAGTAGTGAGGGAATGAGGTGGTCTTCCCTCTGCAAACAAGTTTTTTTTCCATAACAGCACTTAAGATGTGAAACTTCTTTGTGCAACCAACCCTACACACTTCTGATGTGTCCAGGAAGAAGTGTCCAGGTAACTTGCCTCTGTCACTAAAACAACATATTTTAGCTACCAATCAATAGGATTATAATACTTTCATTTTAAGTATTTGTTTGTAATTGGCCTGGTTATGTATCATCATCCACTTAGGAAAAACTAAAGCCAAGGCATAGTGATTGATTAAACTTTTAAACTTCTGAATTTAAAACAACAAATGCCAAAGAGATAAAACACCCAATAACCTCCTTCCCTGTGCTTTCCCCCTCTAAACTAGTCTTTGTAAGGTAATTTTGGGGTGGTGTACAATCTCTAAATTGTACTGAAGAGTAAAATCTGATATGAAATTTGTACAAGGTGGATCGAGAATTTAGCAATAGAGCACTAAACCATATGGGAGTAAAGAGGCATGTTTTTTCGTCTGGTAGATCAAATCCAGATCGCTTTGCAGCGTGTCTGCCGTTAAACCTGTCATTGGAGCCAATGCTTCACTTAATATTTCCTTCAGATTCTCGTCTTGCTGTTCAGGAACACCTTGAAATCTCAGAACATACGCTGCTTTTTCCATTTGTAGTCTTAAAATTTGGTCTTTATCAGAGGATCTTTGTATTTCCATCACCTCCAGTCTTTGATTAGTCTCTTTTATTTTGGCTTCAACCTTTTTCACTGATTTTACAGTCTCTGTTTTTAAGTTCGTCTCTTTAAGCTGTTTTTGGATCTCATCCAACTTCTTGTTGAGGTTAGTCATCTGCTCCAGCAGAGGGTGCAATGCAGTAGCCAACATGTTCGTAAAGTCAATATTTACTTTAGTAGCCGGATGTGTTGATCTTGTAGTTCCAGGAGAGTGTCTCAGTCTCGTTGTCATTTTTTCTGCCCGCCCAGTCATTTGTTTATATTTCAAGGAAAGTTTTCGAAAGTCAGCAAACGTTGCTTCAAAAGCTCGCTTTGGTTAGATTTGTACTTTGCCTGATTCAATCGATCATCACCATTTCTCCTAGCCCCTCTTGCTAAAAGAGTTCGCTTAAAAATGTATGGGGGGGGGAGAGGTGTGAGCTAGCTTCCTCCCCCTCTGTCGATGCCGTTTGGGGCTTCAGATATACGCTTTGCCAAATAACCAGTCAAAAAGGAATTAGCACTCATGCTTCATTCCACTCCTGCTGCAGAGGTAGGGAGAGCTTTATTTTCGTTGGATCACTTGTTCACTCGCCCGGTGTACATCTCTTGATGCCATGATGACACCGCAGTGATGGGACCTATCGGAGCTCAGAGGTGCCTCAATCCCTTGGCCACAGCCTCGGGAGAGGCAACCTCCTGCACCCCAGGCTGGGAGATAGTGGCAAGATTCTCTAAAAGACCAACAGGAGACGTGGTGCTCAAGGCCACAAATGGGACTACCTTAACAACCAAAGAGATCAAGAGATCAACCAAAGAGATCAAGAGATCGAAGAAAAAAGCAGCACACATGGGTCAGGAGATTTGGAATCAAAAGCAAGTAATAACCCAGAAGAAGACTCTGAATCAGAATTAGGGGTGGTATCCCCAAAAGTCCTGAAAGTCAAATGGAAATGTGAAAAAAAGAAAAATAAAGGGAAGAAACAGATTTAATAGAATTGTATAAGCCTAAAAGTCTTATTGTTTGAGATGTATTTACTTGATACAATTATATATTTACCAGTCTGTAATAGAAGCAGTAGAAATTAGCTATATTCCAAAAACTATCTCTTTATAGAGAGAGCTTTAGCTAAATATGCATCTAATCATTATATATGATCCTTGTATCTTATTTTAGGTTAGTGTTAGTGTTTGTAGTGTTTTGGTAGTGTTTGTAGTGAGAATATAGTGTTTGTAGTGAGAATATAGTAGCATGTTTTCCCCCCTGCCTGCAACAGCCATACTTTCAGGCTATATCACCTGCATTGATCTTTTTAGTGCAGTATGGGCTCTTCAGCATAAGAGAAAGAGATTGTGTAACTTGTCATTGTGATTCACATGGAACCAGGATGTCTAACATAGGCAATGGCTTCCATATAGAATTAGTTTGTAGAGCTTCCTGGACAAAGATGAAGTGGACAGAACATTTGTTAGCACGACTGTTTGGCAGTGTGGCTGAAGCTAATGGAATCACTCCGAAGCCCTCACTTGAGTCCTATTTTAATTTTGTGTTCAAAGTCATTTTTTCCAATGCATCTACACAGGAGGAAAAACAGCTGTTTTAGAGTATCCATTTGGGGTTAAATGAATATTCATGATTTTTGTTTTATTAAAAAAAAATGTGTCACCAAACAGGCTCCAACATCATCTGGTGTTAGGCCTGAATGTGGCTTGTCAGCCATGCTCACATATTCCCTCCCTCTTTTGTTCACACATTGAATGCAACTGAAAGCTTTCTGGTTTGGGAAGCCTTGAATTAAACTAATATGACATGATCCCTGATTGTAGGTGCTTGGGCAAATTGGAGTTTGTCTCCTCCCGATGAGCTGGAAATGCAGTCCCAGCACCTAGGGGAGAGGAGAGGGCAGTGAAGTTGAAGGAACCCCTTTTTGACACCCCCCAATAAACACAATCACTCTCAATGTTTTGGAATAAAATTGGCCACAACTTTTATTGGTTAATGCAGTAAGAAGCCTTGGCATGGCTAGGTGGCATGGCCCCTTTCCCCCTGGTGGCCCTCCCCCCCACTTCAGGCCCCATCATAGGCTGTCCTGGGAGACGGCAGGCTGGATTTTCACACCTCTGCAGCCATCTGGCCTCCCAGCTGCCCATGTGGCCCATCCTGTGTTGCAGGATGAGGCCAGTGATGCCGTCATTGTCCCCACTGGCTCTTCCCACTCATGCAGGAATGCAGATGGGACCCGTGGGTGATTCAAAGCCCCAGCTTCTAAAGTCATGCTGTAACAGCAAAATGTTGCTAAAATATACTACTTTGAAATAAATGAACGTTGTGTAGGAGATCTGGTATTGTTAACTACGTTGTTTACAGCTATAGTCAAATACAGCAACTCTGAAGAAATGTTTTGCCTTATTAATTAAATCTGAGGAACACTAAACCTTTAAGAATAATTGGAACTATTTAGTTAATATCCTGATTCAGTTGGAAAACTTAAAACAAATCTGGTTATAATTAAATGAACTATATCACTGTTTTCTTCCATTTTAGGCTGTCTGTGGTTAGATCTGTGCAAAAATTATCTTTTCCTATAAAGTGCTCTGCATAGTTTTTAAAAATAAATTACCATCAGAATATTTCACATAGGATGAATTAATTTAAATCCAATAAATAAAACATATTTTCCATTATAAATCCAGTCTTTTGATATTTGATTCTATGTAAGGTTTTTTGCTGGAAAACTGAAAAGTGAGTTCAAATATTTTTATATTCATTTCTGGTTCTTGTGATTAGTTTCAAAAGGTTTTGGCAGAAGCTTTTAAGGAAGCAAAGTAAAAAAGGGATTTTTTGGTGTGACTTTTCATTCTGAATTGATAGGCATTGATATAGCTTTTTTGTAATATTCATGATATCTTAAGTGATAGCAGTCTTCTTTTTGATACGTAAATAGAACTTCTGCTTGCTTTTCCACCACATACTTTCAGTAACTTCATAGTTGGTATCATATTAAGTTAAAATAACTACACTTGGTTAATACAGTTGCTTTCCTTCCTTAATTTGACTGTACACATGATAGGGTAATAAACCTGGCATTTACTTGTAGATTTAAAGGGACCACATTGCAGAATTGTGCTGTGGCTTGGAGAAGGTATTTAAAGGGACCACATCCCCTTAAACGCTTTTCTCCCTCCATTGGAAACAATGGAGGATGGGGGCACCTTCTTCTGGAGTGCATAGAGTTGGACCCCCTGGTCCAATCTTTTTGAGATTCGGGGAGGGGGTTATAGAGAGGTGCCAGCAGCTATGCTGCAAATGTGGTGCTTCTACCTTAAAAAGCCCCCCCCCCCGAGCCACAGATACCTCCAGAATGTTTCTCCATTATAGCCTAAGGGTCCCGCGAACTATAATGGTCCCCATAGGGTATAATGGAGCCATAAAATGTCAGCAGTCTTGAATATTTTCCCAATCCCATACCAATATTGGGATCCGAGAATATTGGGAAATACTGATATTATTTGGGTTCAATATACCCAGATCTGAAAAATACCACTTTTTGTGCACATCCCTGATATAGACATGTCAGTATTTTCTCATTTTAACAGGTTCATGATTAACTGTATATTTTTCCCTTAGTAAAACTATCCAGTGGTGTGCATTAATAATATTATTATTTCAGTTTCTATCATAAATTAGGGCTAGTACATTAAACAGACTCTGTGTTAATTCTGTTTTTGTAGCATACTTCCTTGATATTTCCTGCTTTATAGAACAGTCAATTTCAAAACATTGCAGTTTTTAAAAAGCTTGTACTGCACAGGAACAATAAAAGCTAGATTTCTGCTTTACTTTTATTTCATTATTATTTTCATGTTCTTCATTAACATTTTAGTAAACATTGCTTTATCATTACTTCATAACATACATGTGTGGACATAACACTTTTCTTGCAGAAAATGAATTTATTTTTAAAAAGTTAATCTGCTTCATATGTTCTGTATATTTGCACATGCTGCCATAAATTGGAAAGGGATGATTAGTAGGGGAAAAAAATCATCTCCACAGAAACAGCCTTTTTATTTATATTTGATGGATACTCGAATTTTTAGAATGTTCATACTGATAATAATCTTTTTAACATATTGACATAATATATAACTGTTGTCTGATTTCCAGATTCTTGAAGCACTAGCAAAAAGTGATGAGCAATTTGTGCAAAACTGTAATAGCCTAAATAGTTTAAATGAAGTAATCCCAACTGATCTTCAAAGTCAATTCAGTACAATCTGCAGTGAGAAAATTGAGCATATCTGCAGACGAATCACTAGCTATAAAAAGGTAAGGATAATCAATTTTCCCGATGAAAGAATAAAAATTTATTGTTTAAATTTCTGTTTATTTGTTGTAGTACCATGAAACAGATAACAGAAAATACTTGAGTCATCTATATACCTCCATTGCTATGGTTTTGCCAGAAGGGGCATCTCTTGTACCAGGTGACCTCTGCTCCATATGTTTATCCAATTCCCTCTTGAAGCCATCCATGCTTGTAGCTGCCACCACCTCCTGTGGCAGTGAATTTATGCTTTTCTAACACATGCAAAAAAATGAAATTGAAGCAACAATTTTCAGGTTGAAATAGGAGTGATAAGAAATTCAAAATCACTCACGTTTGGCTCTCAACCTCTATCTTTGTAGAAACAATTGATAAAAGAGACAAACAGGTTTATTTAAATATATATTTTAGCTGTGTTTGATCAGCAACTGTATTGGTAGCTAGTTTCCCTTTCTTTTTTCCTTCTCTGCATACATTCCCTCCATGTTGGCTGGTTCATTAGGAAACTTATGGTACAGGAGTAGACATTCTGTCAATCAAAGGAAGCATCCAACAATTGTATTTAGTCCATAGGATGGCCTGGTAGTTGTCAGTAACTGATCCCTAGTTCTTCTGTGTTTACTTTCATTTCACAGAAATGATGCTTCCGCTTATGAAGAGCTACAGAACAGCTACATACATTTGTTCAGGGCTATCTTGGGGCAGGAACGCACAGGAATGGAGCTGGCTTTAGAGTTGGCCACGCCCACTACAGCCAAAACCTCTGTGTGCGTGGCTACAGAGGGAAGGCCTGGAGAGTGACCCCCCCGGTGACTCCGAGGCGATTGGGCCGGGGGCGGCCCTGGAAGGATTGGGGAGGCAGTTACATGCCTCCCCATGCCTTCCCTGGCCTGTCCAAGTTCCGGCTTGCCTGGGCTCCCTGCAGCCGCGGGGTGCATGGACAAGCCAAGGGAAGGCATGGGGTGTGGCCTAATATGCTAATGGGCCATGCTGTCAGGGGGGTGGCCTAATATGCTAATGAGTTCCTGCTGGGCTTTTTCTACAAAAAAGCCCTGCATTTGTTAGATGAAATGACTCAAACGGTTCTCATTGACCAAATACATATTTTTAGCAATTCACGCATTTAAAGCATCTCTTAGTTAAGTTTGACAAAAGTATACATCAGTTCATTTTAAAAAGAAAGATGGGTATTTTAAACTATTCTGTCAGAAATTCTACATAGCTTTTCATACATTTCCTGCCTGCTATCGAGCTGAATTTGATGTGCAGTGTCCAGGACAAGAATAGCAAGAGCATATTGGGTCAAGAGGAAGTACATTGGCACAACCACATAGGAGAAGGAATACATAATCACTGTACCTGACATTATCTTCTTATAAGCCCCCACAGTAATTAAAATTCTCAGATAAGAACATTTCAGAATCCATAATTGTGATGCAGATTTGTCATTTCAAAATGTTTATTGTTCCTGATGGCTGTTAGTAACATGTTCTACTCCAAGAATAGCTGTGCTTTTCTTTTAGGAAGGTAAATGTAACCATAGTAACAAAAGTGCTTGAGAATGCCATAGCTGCGCTGTTAGTTAAACTGTGAAAGTTTGAGACCTATAAATAGAAACCTAGAGGCTTCCTGCAGTTTTTATTAACATATTATTTATAACATAAATAAGTACAGTAGTACTCATGCTCTTCTAATGAAAAAAAAAGATCTGAGTTTATTGTTTGATTAAATTGTAACAAGCATTTTGGACTCCATGAGACAGGATATGAGAGTACTGAAACGTGGAATATATACTGAAATGTCTTTAGTGTCATCCTTGTTCCACATGTTTGATGTTCCACATCAACTTGTTCCATATCAACTAGTGATGTGGATGAAACCTATCATTACCCAGTTTGATGGATATCAGAAACCTTGGTTAAACTGTATTTTTTAGGTTAAGTGTTCCTTGGGGTACTGCTTTGTTTGGCATCAAAGGACGGAAGTAACTAATTTCCATTGCCATGGCAGCATGATGATCATGGGAGGTGTGTGGGAACGCTTATGGTTCTGCAGGGCCTGCAAGACGGAGCTCTTCCACCAGGCTTTCAATTAGGAACCGCCCTCACCACTTTCAGCAACACCTGTGGTTATGGGCCAGCCCCAGCTTTGAGATCGAGCCATGCCATCGTGTGATGCCAGAAGATCACTTAGTCAGAAAGTGATCATATAGCACGCCATCTCAATTAATGATGGAATGATTATTATTACTAGCACTTTATTATTACCTGATTGTTTTAAAATGTTTAAATGTTTTATGTGGATTTTATGGTACCTGGTACCGACTATGTAAGCCGCCCTTAGCCTGTTCATGGGGAGGGTGGGATATAAATGGAATAAATAAATAAATGAATAAAATAAAATGGTTGAATGGGGGACATTTGAAAACTCAGTTAAGCATCTGTTAGGAGCACAATGGGGTTTCCAAATTTTGGAGTTTAGCTCATAAATAAATGAACTCTTTTTTCTGGGTTTTTTTTAAAAAAATGTCATGTAATATGAGCTAAATTTCAAACTTTTTTTTTAAAAAAACTTGTAATTGGCTTTAAATTTATGGTGAATATTTTATTGATTTATTTGGGAAAGTGTTTCTAAAAGAACTCATGCAGTAGAAAAAAGCAAGAGTCCCTGCCACAATTCTTGTTAGTCTTTAATGCTACAGACAGACTAACATGGCTACCCATCTGGATCTAAGAGAACTGTTGTTCAACTTAGCTCAAGTTTCCACAGGCATTTTTCGAACCTGGACTGTGTGTGTGTCTATGTATATATGCCTGGAAGTCATGGTTGACTTTTGGTGACCCGTACTGGGGCCTGGTCATTTCAGAGACATGGCTTACTATTGACTGCTTTTGCATCCCAACCCTGGTATTCCTTGGAGGTCTCCCTTCCAAGTACTTGCCAGGGTCAGCCCTGCTTAGGTTCCAAAATTTGATGAGATTGGGCCTGCCTGGGCTATCAAGGTCAGGGTATTCTTTCATACTAATTTTTGATGGGCTGGTGAGCTCTTCTTCATTGTAGGCCTTAACCAGTGATTGATGAACACCCCTTAGGTCACTGTAAATGACCATGACTAATGAAAATAAAGTTTTTTCCCTGATCCATTTCACATTTCCTGTGACTTTATTGAGAATGTGGTGGGGTATGAATGCCTGTTCTTGTCCGTCCCCCCCGCCAGAACACCAAAATCTATGAGACTTCCTTTCTTTCAAAATTAAATTGGTGGCAACAGTAGTGTCTGTGACCAATGTCATTTTTTGAGGACTCCATTCTTCCTTTGTGTGTGGAATATGGTAACAGTAGTGTTGCAGTTACCAGACATCTTGAAAAGTATGGTTTTCCAGAGTGCCTGAGAATTCCTTAGGGATGCCAGGCACCCTGGAAAGTGCATGTTCCACTGCTCCTTTTATCTGGGACACTGCTGAGTGTGCTCATGTCAGTGTTGCACAATTACAGGAATTCCACATTTGTCATTTTGATGGGAGTCCTCTCGCCCTCTGCTGGCGGTTTCTGTCATCACTTCCAGTCACGCCAGAGGTAATTTCATCACAGTGCCAATGACATCACTGTGTCACCTGAGAGCACCTCCCACTGGTGAGCCTTCCAGTGATTGCCACTCTGGTGCTGGCAAACCTATGCAGGGACAAGGGATACTTAGGGCAGATATTTTATGTGTCCTGGGAAACTTCCTATCCCAAGACAGTATGCTGGTGTGCTCACTTAATTTTCTGAGACTTCAGTGAAATAACTCTCCGTTTGCATGAAAGCTGAAAATTATGGAGTAATAACACATTTCAGCAATATAATAAAGATATGTGAGAAAGAGGGTTTTTTCTCTTTCCAACATAAGTTACTCCAATTTATTATGCCCAGCCCAAAGGATGATCAAATGAAGAGCCAGTTTGGACTTGACTCCATCCAGAATAGTGAAAGGAAATGTATGGGTGACAGGCATATCCATTATTTACATTTTCCCCATAATATCTGGCAAGGGAAGCTGTGTACCTGTCATGTGATGAGATAAATGAGCTACTAGTGTGGGTAGAAGTCATTTTTCTCACTATAGGCGAGAAGCACAAATTGCCTCTACAGATATAACATGAATCTGCAGAAATACAGATACCTAAATTATCCATGCATCCATAATTACTGGTTCTATGTAATGCTCAAAGCTTCCTTTAACTCACCATAGAAGTAAAAAAACTTACGAGGAGTGGAGCTCCTCATAGTTAGTGCCAATAAAGAGATGATGTTAAGGTGATGTGTAGAAATATAAGAATCGTGGAAGCTGAGAATTTTGGGGGGGGGGCACTCTCACTTTTGTAATGCAAGGAACTGAGTGCTTAACAAGAAGCAAAAAATCCTTTCATTTTTAGTACTGTCATGATCTGGGCTGTGCCACCAGAGGCCTACTAGGCCCAGGGAGCCTTGCTAGCAGTAGGTGAGGCTGAGCCTACAACTCCCAGAACCCCTTGAGAGGTTTTGGAGCCAAAATTGACCAATAGGAAAAGAGGAGGGCTTGGAATAAAAGATCTGGAGCAGCAGGAAAAGCTGTTCTTCCCAGAGGGCAGAGCCAGAAGGAAGGCTGCAGGGAAGAAACCCTCATCCTGAGGGAAGGGTGAGTAGTCTAAGGCCTCTGCAGATAGTGAGCTAGGGACAGTATATTTAGATGCGTTAGGGCATTTGATTTCTTTTCTTTTCAACCACTTACTGTTATACTGCACCTTGTTTGTTTGACCTCCTATAAAAGAAACCTTTTCCTTGTTGTACTCTGCCTGGTCCTCATGCCTGTTATTTGGCCAAAAGGGAGGTCTGAAGGTCTTGGGACGGTGCTCTGGGCCTTCTCAAGGGATCCTAAATCCAGAATGGTGGCAGCATCAGGTGACACCCCACCTGAGCCGTGACAAGTACCAAGTACAATTATACTAACAAAAAGAAACTTTCTTCCATCTGAAAAATATATTAGTGAACCTAAATTTGTATAATTAAAAAAACCCATATAACTCAGTTTGTAAGTTTTGATTATATTAAGCTTCCCTTTATTTCCTCATCTGCAGTTTTCACGAGTTTTAAAAAACAGAGCTTGGCCTACCTTTAAGCAAGCTAAATCAAAGATCTCACCATTGCACAGCAGTGATTTTTGTCCAACGAATTGCCACATTAACGTGATGGAAGTTTCATACCCTAAAACCTCAACGTCAGTTGGTAGTGCTTTTGGTGTTCAGTTAGACAGCAGAAAACATTTTTCGTATGAAAAAGAAAACAAACATAGTGACCAAGGTAAGCTTCAAGATACGCTCTTATATCCATCTATTAGTATGCTAGTTAATAACTTTCCATCCCACTCTAATGTGATGAAGAAGTGGATCCCAGGAAGGAATAACTGGGCCAAAAAACAGATTTAGGTCCCACCTCCATTATTTTTTTCCCTGCATAACTGAAAAGCTATCACACCTTTCTTTGAGGGGAAAGAAGCATCTCATCTGATGATAGCATTGTTGTAAGGGCAATACTGTCTTCCTGTTCTTACCCTGACAGTAGGCATCATGGTCTAGGAAATCTTCAAGGACAGCCATCTTTTCACATTCACAACCCCATGTATCTCCTGTGCTGAATTTATGTCGAGTGTTGATATTCAAGTCAATAATGTTTGAAGAAGGGGAATGTTTTTTTCCCCCAATGACCCTTAAGTAAGGGAATGTTAAGCTTTCATGGCCATTTGTTTCACCTGTCTACAGCTGCTTTCCACTGTATTTTTCCTGCTTATGGCTGTTTTCTCTGTTTAGTCAAGTAGTGATGCTTTTGTAAATGTGATGATATCATGATTATATGGTGACTTCACTGAAGGTAAAGGAAGGCTATTCAAAATGATAACAAATCATTCCTGAACAGGCAAAGCATTTAATCAGCTTTTGAAGAGATTACCCCAGCCCATGCCTAAAAGAGGGATGAACAGCACCAGTTTTTAAGCCTGATAAAAATGTTCTTGAAAGTCACTTTCACAATAGCAGGCATTTTGTCATTGTCTATTAGCAACCTTGAGTCTCTGGAAGCTTTTGACAAGAACTGTGTATGATTTTTTAAATTCTTGATTGCTTATTCAGACTTATTACAATGTCTCACCTTGTTAAGTAATGGAAGAATTGTCTCAATAGCAGGCAGACTACTTTATTTGCAAAAATAAAAACCCTAGCCACCCTTGATTTTCTGTACATGCTTGGATTTTCAATTCCAAATGGCACATGTACCAAACATAATTTTTGTAAAATTTAGAATGTTTATTCATTTGATTTATGACTTTCATTTTACCACCTTTGATTTTCAAATGGTGGAGCTATACCCTGCAATATATTTTATGCATTTTATTTTATTTTGATCATGTCCAGGTAAACTGAGTCCCATGGTTTATATACAACATACAATTACTACAATGGCAGCTCCATCAGGACATTCCTTAGGTCAACAGGAAGGCCATGGTTTGAGATATCTGTTAACAGAAGAGGATCTGGAAACACAAGATGTCTATCAGAAATTGTTGTGCAAATTGCAAGCTGCACTGAAAGAGGTGGAAAATTGTGTTTCTCAAATAGATTAGTAAGTAACCCCATGAAACATACTCTTAAGGCCTTTGGATGTTAACGTACTCACTTACTGTAAGAGGAAGCTTTCCTTGTGTTGTAACATAGTCCCTGTGCAGTTTGGTGTAGTGGTTAAGAGCAGCAACTTCTAATCTGGAGAACCAGGTTTGATTCCCCACTCCTCCACTTGCAGCCAGCTGGTCAGTTCTGTTCTGTCAAGAGTAGTTCTCTCAGAACTCTGTCAGCCTCTTTTCTCCAGAGTCGGGGACAAAGGGTGGCACTAGGGGAGCAGGAGTCCCGAAGACACCAGCTTGAATGTGGTGTGCCTCAGGGGGCGGTGGTCTCCCCGATGTTGTTTTATGTGCCCCCTTGCCCAGATTGTCCGGAGGTATGGGCTTGGGTGTCATCAATAAGCAGATGACACCCAGCTCTATCTGATGTTGGGTGGCCGGTCGGACTCCAGCCCAGAAGATCTGAACTGGGCTTTGCAAGCCGTGGCTGGGTGGCTCAGACTGAGTCGGCTGAAACTGAACCCAGCGAAGATGGAGGTCCTGTGCCTGAGTCGGGGTGGTTTGGGGTTGGGGATCCCTCTGCTGACCTTCGGTGAGGCGCCTTTGGTACCAGCGCTGGAGGTTAGGAGTTTGGGAGTGCTTTTGGATTCCTCCCTAACTATGGAGGCCCAGGTAGCAGCCACTGCCAGGTCTGCCTTTTACCATCTTAGGGTGATTCGGCAGTTGGTTCCCTACCTCAACGACCTGGCTACAGTGATCCATGCGACGGTCACCTTGAGATTAGACTACTGTAATGCTCTCTACATGGGGCTGCCTTTGTCACAAATCTGGAAGCTGCAGCTAGGGCAGAATGCTGCGGCCAGGCTGTTGGTGGGTCTCCCGAGATGGGAGCACATCTGGTCTGTGCTGAAAGCGCTGCACTGGCTGCCAATATTGTACCGGGTTCACTTCAAAGTGCTGGTTCTTACCTTTAAAGCTCTATATGGCCAGGGTCTGACATACCTGAGGGACCGCCTTTCCCCACATATACCCCAAAGAGCACTACGGTCCGGGGCACAACATCGCTTAGTGATCCCAGGCCCTAGGGAGGCCCGGCTTGTTGCAACCAGGGCCAGGGCCTATTCAGTGGCGGCTCCTACCTGGTGGAATGAGCTCCCGGAGGAGATCAGGGTCCTGCGAAACCTTGTACAGTTCCATAGGGCCTGTAAGACGGAGCTCTTCCACCAGGCTTTCGACTAGGAGCCACCACTACCACCACCAGCAACAAACCCGGCTGATAACTGGGAACGGAGCGGCCCTATGATGATCGCACTTCAGTGCCGTGACGGATCGGTACCGTTGTACTGGGATGGAGGCAACATCTACTCGATACCATCTTGTTTAAATTTAAGAGTAACAGCATTGAACAATTTATGTAATGTTTGGTTATTTATTCTATTTTATCCAGTTTTAATTGGATTTATGTATTGGCACTTGGTGCCCCATTTGTTAGCCACCCTGAGCCCATTTGTGGGGAGGGCGGGGTAGAAATTTAAATAAATAAATAAATAAACAAGCAAAACTCCTAAGAGGTGTTAACTGATGACCGCTGCCACATGCTTATCCAACAGGAAGCCTGGGTCCAGCAGTGCTCCCAAGCTGTTACCTTGCTCCTTTGTGATACTCTTCACAAGTTCCAGTCTGTTATTTCCGAAAATTATGTTTTTCTTATACAACTTTATGGGCTCTAGAAACAAAATTTTTAAAAAGCCGAATTAAATACAATGTTTTTGGTATAAAACAACCAACAATTGAACGGTGAAGCAAATAAACTAAATAAAACCATTGTGATTTAGACATGCTATTAAAATATAGCAGACTAAATTAGTTAAACAAGCCCATGTAAAAGTGCTGTTTTTTGGGGGGGGGGGAGTCATATGGTACAAGATAGGCAACTGTACTCTTTCCTGGCCAAGATACTAGTTTGGCAGTTATGGTGCAATCAGGTAAAGCAAAAGATAGGATAAAATTGTAGGTTGAGATTTAGTTTTCACTTAACCATTGTGGTTTTAGAATACTCCTTAAAGGGGAAAAGCAATTTCCTTAGCAGTGAAACAAGCATGGAGTAAAACATATAATAAAGATTTCAGGAGAGCTAAGAGTTTGTGACAGGAGTGTTCTCTTCAGGCTTCATAGAGTGGCATAATGAAATATGTAGTAAAAAGTGAAATACTAAAACTTGTACTACTGAAAAAAGTTCGACTTTAAATAAATTCAAAGACAAAGGTTTCTCAAAATTCCGCACAGGAATAAATGTTTTATGTCAATGCAGTTGTTCTTAAGGACAGTAGTGATGAAAACATAGTGTGTATACCTGCTCTGAAATGGCATGAAAACTGCTTATGTACATTTTGTTTTTTATGAATTATAGTGTTAACTTCAAAGCCTTTGTAAATTTTTTTGAACTGCAGCAGAAACATAAACCTAAAATATGTGTAACCACGGGATAAACCAGGAAAAAATATATTATAAACTATACAAAATCATCATGCCTTTTGATAAATACTTTCGTTTTGTAGGCTCACTTAATATTGCAGAACAGCTGTCACTGTTGCGGCTTTTCTGTTCCTTAGTGTGTGTGATGAAAACTTCCAGTAACATTTTCCTATTTTTTTCATGCACAATTGAATATACTATAATCAAGAATAAATACTGTGAGTCATAAACTGCAAATGTTAACAGTACACAATGGAATCTTACATTAAGTGTTCATATAAAATTCTTGTTGGCAAACAAAGTGATCTAATGGGAGAATCTATGAACAGTACACAGATTTATTTCTGAAATTGAATATTCATTTTAAAACCTGGAATCACCAATCTTTTTATTCCTATTCCTTGTGGACTTTGTGTGGACTTTTTATTGTTCTGGAAGAAAGCAGGGGAGGTTTATTAGAAAGAGGACACACAGGTGTTTATTTTTAAATTTTGGAACAGGACTAATAGGAAAGATGAGGGTGAGGTTTCTCTCTCTCTCTCTCCCCCCCCTCCCAAGTTCACACATGGTGGTAGGCCATAGGGTTGCCAGCTCCAGGTTGGGAAACACCTGGAGATTTTGGCAGTGGAGCCTGCGGATGGTGGGAAGGGAGGGACTTGAATGGGCTATAATGCCATAGAGTCTACCTTCCAAAGTGGCCATTTTCTCCAGATGAACTGTTCTCTGTTGCCTGGAGATCAGTTGTAATCCCAGGAGATCTCCAACAACCACCTGGAGGTTGGCACCCTAACATAGGATGACAGGAGGGGATTGCCAACTGGTAGGTAGGTAATACAGAGGGTCACAGTGTTAGGAAGATATGGTAAAGTATATGACACTGTGTATAATATATGTATGCTTAAGGTAGATCTATTTTGTGCTTTTTATTTTTTCCCTTTTTAAATTTTTTTTATACTGTTATATAAATACTGGTGTCAAGTGTTACCAAACATAGCTTTCACCTAAACAATACATCAAAGTACAGGTTTACGCTATGTACAAACATTCAAACAGCACCTTGTCAGTTTCACAACCACTAGTCCAGTCACTAGTCCCATGGGACTCTAGTAATATACCCATATCAAATACAATCTTTTTCAAGGACAGTGATGTACATACAGGACATAAAGTGCAATAAATTCTCTTTGTGAGTATAAAACTCTTAAAATAGCAGCATATTTTCTAGGGTCCCATCGGAACCCTTGCGGCAAACATAGTAACCTATCTAGGAGAAAATATCTCTCGAGTTCTATCAGGCAGGTAGCGCCTGGAGATCTCCTGGAATTATAACAGATCTCCAGACTACAAAGAGCACTTCCTCTGGATGAAATGGCAGCTTTAGAGGGTGGAGTATATGGAGTCAAATCTCTTTTGAGCTTCCTCCAAAGGTCTGCCCTCTGCAAGCTCCACCCAAAATCTTCAAGAATTTTCTAAGCTAGGGTTGGCAACCATACATGGCAGTGACCCATTCAGGATTCTACATCATCTTACATCTTGTTTTAAGAGTTCTTCATCTGTATCTCCCTCATTCACATAAGTGATCTGTCACCTGCAGGGAAACTATACAGGCATGCAAACAAAGGTTGTAGGCCTGTTGCTCAGAACAATGTCTGCATTTTTGGTGCATTTATTATTTATTTATTATTTGTATTTATATCCCGCCCATCCCACGGATGGGCTCAGGGCAGGTAACATCATTATAAGTACAATTACAGTTTAAAACACAATATAAACATTAAAACAATGGGTACAGCTTAAAAACAGATGTCAGCTGGCTATAAAAAATTCTGGCCCAATGGTACAGGTGAAATAAAAGCCAGTTGTCAGTAGTCAGTAGGTAGACGGATAACAGTAACCTCAGGGAGGTCATATGTGGGCGCCTGTTGCCTCAACTAAAGGTCTGGTGGAACAGCTCCATCTTGCAGGCCCTGTGGAATTGAAGAAGGTCCCACAGGGCCCTGGCATCAGTAGGGAGTATGTGCCACCAGGCTGGGGCCAGGACAGATAAAACTCTGGCCCTGGTCAAGGCAAGACGGATGTCCCTCAGGTCAGGGAGCACCAGGAGATGTTGATATTTAGAGCGTAATGCTCTTCGAGTCATATATGGGAAGAGGCAGTCCCTTAGATATGTTGGTCCCAGGCCGTATAAGGCATAACATTCAAGATTCAGTACATGGAATTTCTTTGTAAGTAGCCCCAAGTATTAATATTGGTAGTATGTACCATCTTTGTAGACTGCTTTTGAAAGTAAAAATAACATAGTTGAATATTATATTTCAGCCTTCTCTCTTCAATAACGTGTTCTCCAAAATCACAACGTAAAATGCACGAGTCCTTACCACCAACAGACAGTGATAATGAAAAAGGAGAACGAAATGGTAAAAAGGTGTGCTTCAGTGTAGCTGGTGATGAGCAGGAAGATTCTGGTCATGACACTATTAGCAACCGGGATTCATATAGGTAATTATGTCTTATCTCCATCAATAGTAAAATGCATGAATTGTGCATTCCTGTCAGACCCCTGGAGAAATCAGTTCCCAACAACAGTCATTCAAAAGAATATAAAGTTTGTTGAGACATTGATAGGCTCCTGTGGCGTCCACTATTTGGGAGGACTGGTTTTCCCTTTAAATGTGCTCTTTTCTTTATTAAACTGGGTAGATTCGGCTGCCACCAGGAATTTAAGGATTTCCAAACCTCCTCTCTGTTCCTCTTTCTGGTAAAGTAACCCAGGGTCTAGGCTTTTCAGGGATCTATATGGTCCTGAGGAACGATTGGATTCAATTCTGGGATAACTTAAATAAAAGATGATTTATTGAACTAAGAACAAAATATGAGGTTGGTTATTCTGTAACTGTTTAGGATAAAGGGACTTGTAAATATGTTGTTCAAATGTATCACACACACACACTTTTTTCCCTTTACTTTTGTTTGTTTGACACTCAGTTACAACATTAACAGGATTCACTCTTTCCTTTAGAGTCAGCCACTCAGGCTAAGGACTCCTGTCTTTGAGATCTCACACAGAACTATAATAACCCTCACTGACTGAACACCAACTGAACAATTCCAACTGACTTTCATAACTCCTTCATAACTGACACTCTCATTCACCCACACAGATTCACTTCAAAAACCCCTCCCACACTCTGTCATCCATCAATCACAGCACATTTGTCTCTCTCAGTCACTCTGCTCTGCTATCACTGTACCTCAACCAAACACTTAAAGGCACACACACACAAGGAATCATTACAGATCCAGACTCTAGACCTTCTGTGTTAGAACTAGGGGAAAGCGCACAAAACAAGCAATTATACCTAAATCAGGCAGGACCCTAAAGGCCTGGGGCCAATCACACCTAAGCATGAAGCCCGCCGAAATAATGGCTCATAGTTCTCAGGGGAAAGAAGACACCAGACTCCACTGGGTCTCAAGGTTACTTGCCTAGGCTGACTAAGATAAGAGTAACATGTAAAGGTAAAGGTAGAGGTCCCCTTGCTCGAAAGCCAGTCGAATCCGACTCTAGGGTTGCGGTGCTCATCTCCGTTTCAAAGCCGAAGAGCCAGCGCTGTCCGAAGACGTTTCCGTGGTCATGTGGCCGGCAGGACTAAACACCAAGGCGCACGGAACGCTGTTACCTTCCCACCGAAGTGGTCCCTATTTATCTACTTGCAATTTCTTGCTTTCGAACTGCTAGGTTGGCAGGAGCTGGAACTAGAGACAGGAGCTCACCCTGTCTTGCGGCACCCGGGTCTTGAACCGCTGAACTACTGACCTTCCACAGCCTGCAGTTCAGCGTCTTAACCACTTGAGCCACCGCAGCTCCTAAGAGTAACATAGAAGAGGCTAAAAGTGAAAGTAGACATTCCTCGCACTCCCCTCCATCCCTATGGCAACGAAGTTGACATTCTGCAACCCCGAAGACCCCTACCCTGCTGGGTTAAGAGGGTATTTTTTGTGGAAGGCACGCATGAGCTGAAGGGCATTAACATTACCTCAGTGCACCCATTAATTCTGGGAGGGGTCAAAATCTTTCCATTTGATCAGGTAATACAGGCGACCATGTTTAAGTCTAGAGTCCAGGATTTGTTCAACCTCTTGGTGCAGTTCACCATTGACAATCAGAGGTGGAGGTGTTGCTGGTCATGGTTTCCATTTGTTTGGACCTGGATCCCTTTTCAACAAGCCAAAACGGAACACGGGGTGAATATGTTTAAGTGTCTTAGGCAAATCGAGTTCAACTGCCACCTTGTTTATCACTCGGGTCACTTTGAAGGGTCCCACATATTTCCACCCCAACTTCCTTCCTGGTTGGAGTCCCCTTAAATTCTCTGTAGATAGGTACACAGTTACCAGGTTGTAAGTTCTACTTGGAGGCTTGCCCCTTGTCTGCTTGATTTTTGTAATCCTCTTTGGCTTTGTCTAAAGTCTTTTGAATGGTAGACCACTGGTCTTCTAACCCTTGCCACCAGGCGTGAAGGTCCCCATTCCCTGGCTCAGGTGAAGCCACCGTAGGGAGGGCCTCGTATCCATGTACAACCTTGAAAGGGGACAATCTGGTGGACATTGCCGTCCTTCCCCATGGCAATGAAGTTGACAATTCCATCTTTAGTGCACATAAATATGTACTTTTAGTTCAAGTATGCTTTTTGCTATACTCATCAATCATTTAATTTCAGCAGAGAACTCTCTTTGTGACATTATTTTATTTAGTTTTTTCCACCATTTCTTTATGGGAAGGTGAATAAAAGTTACTTTGTGGTTTGTTTAATGGCACAAAGAGCTTTGGCAAAATATTACATAGATATGCCTGGGTATGAAATGAAAATAAAAGGATATGAGAAACCTCTATTAATGTAAATATTCTGAAAAAGATTTATATTTGTGTGCTTTCTTTTCCCTATTCAGTGATTGTAATAGCAACAGGAATTCCATTGCTTCTTTTACCAGTATTTGCAGTAGCCAATGCAGTTCTTACTTTCACAGTGATGAAATGGATTCAGGTAATTCTTATTTCCCCACCCAATTTTTTTCAGAACAAAAGGTAATTTTAGGCCCCGGCCACACATGCCGGAAAACGCAGGGGGGAGGCGTGCCTATTTGTGCCGTCGCATTCTGATGCGCCATTATGCGATCAGACGTGATGGTGGCTTTGCAAAGAGGATGACGGGGAGAAAGCCGCGCACCAGCGCAATCACTCCCAGAGAGTCCGCATGCAGCCCTTGGCATACCATTTGCCAGTAGGTCATCCCAGGTACTTTTTAAATGTGCATCTTCAGTGGGACGCCACGGATTCGCCACGGGTGCGCTACGCCTCCCAGATGTTCCGGTATGATCGCGCCCGGAAAATCCGTGGGACACTCGTGCCTTCAGCGCAGCAAATGCTCCGTGTGAATGGAGCCTTAAATAATTTTTCTTAAGGGGAAGTATTTGTCACCTATCATAAGAACTGATAGTATGGCTTACTAACTGACTTGCTTCTGTAGCCTTGCCACAAATTGCAAGTTCAAAATTATGGCATACAAATCTCCTCCTCCAGGATTCTCTAAGCCTTCAAGGCTCGAGGAGGCTGATTTTTCCTCCTTTTTTCTTTAACTGGACCCATCTACTCTCAGTGTCCGGTCCCTCCTGGGGTATAGTTAGTCCTCATCAGGCTGGTTTTCTCAGGATTGGTTTTTGGTTAATTTATGCTCCTATTTTTCTGCCTGCTTGGGAAGTACCCTATGCAAGTAGAAACCACTACCTTTCTTATCTGTGGATTATCTGATTACTAGCAGTAAAGCCCGTTGTGAAAGCAATACAACGGTATCTAGAAAGAGGCTCTGGGGCAGTGCTCTGGCTTTGGGCAAACAGTGTCAATTTGCTGTGGTGACCTCAGCAGGGTATAATGACAGAGTCCACTGTTTTCTCCAGAGGAACTGATCTCTGCTACCTGTGAGTAATCTGTAGCCCTCACCTGGAGATTTGCAACAATTGTTACCCAGAACGAAATGGCTGGTTTGGAGGGTGGAGTCTATGGCATTCTACCTGTCTGAGGTCCCACCCCTCTGCAGATCCCACCCTCTCCAGGCTCCACCCCTCAAATCCCCAAAAATTTGTCAGCATGTAGTTGGCAACCCCATCTCCTTCCCAGCTAGCCATCAACCTACCATTATCTGCCCCTTTGACTTCAGCGGCCTTCTGCCCTCCCTTCTGCAGAGCAGTTGTAATACTGAGTGCTCTCCAGCCCTCACCTGGAGATTGGCAACAATGGTTCCCTATGTGGGACTGACTGGTTTGGAGGGTGGAGTCTATGGCAGTGTACCTGTCTGAGGTCCCACCCCTCCTCAAACCTCACCCTCTTCAGGCTCCATCCCTCAAATCTCCAGGAATTTCCCATCTGGAGTTGGCAACCCTATCAGGATTGGCCCCAATGTGTTTTCTCCCAAAGGCCAAAGTAGGTGACAGGACCAAGCTTAGTTGCCTACCAACAGGCACTGAGGGGAATGTAGGGTTGCCAGCTCTAAGGAGGGAAATACCTGGAGGTTTTGGGGGTGGATTCTGTAGAGGGCAGCATGGGGGGTGGTGGAAGGACTCAGCAGGTATAATGTCATAGGGTCTACCCTCCAAAGCAGCCATTTTCTCCAGGGGAAACTGATCTCTGTCATCTGGAAATCAATTGTAGCAGTGGGAGATCTCCAGGTCCCACCTGGAGATTGGCAACCCTAGGGGAAAGTCAGCTGCACAGCAGGGGGTTGAAGAGAATGGTTTGATGGCTGCTGGGCCAAGATTGGCAACAATAGTTCCCCAGGAGCAAATAGCTGGGTTGGAGGGTGGAGTCTATGGCACTGTAACCTGTCTGAGGTCCCCATCTCCCCAGGCAGCTTTTAAAACATGATCCTGGGACCTACACACCACCAGACATTCCAACTGCCTTGCGGGGGGGGAGTTTTAGGTGTGGAATGGAGTGAAGTCCAATCAGCTTCCATATGCAAAAGACCTTGAAGGTTCCATATGCAACTGACATTCCAACTGCCTTGCGGGGAGGGGGGTGAGTTTGAGGTGTGGAATGCAGTGAAGTCCAATCAGCTTCCATATGCAAAAGACCTTGAAACACTGGGCGGGACTGCACAAAGCAGCCAGTCAACCCAGCCAGCGTCTTCTGACTGACAGTTCAAGCGTCCATACACTAAAGGAGTGCATTTTAGAACTTTGGCACCCACTACTCAATTATATATAAGGAAAGATATGTTAAAACATTTTAAAGAGAGAAATGTACCAAAGTAAACTGATTAAACTATAGGCAAATCATACCAGCAAATTTAGGTGGTGGGATATCCAGTTGACTGGCTCAAATTCAAAACTCTTCTATACCACACAATATGGCATTTGCATTTCTTTACATAAAAATATACCCTATCTTTGTGTGGTTTGAGGAGTCTTCTTGAGCTCATTTAGCTCACTCATAATGCTGCTCACTACCTACCACCCTATTAAAATCTCACCAGTTATTGCTTATGCCAATTCTTTTTTGCAGTCTTAAGGGCTAGTTGCTTCTGAGATTTGCAGGAAGGTAAAGACAGAAGGCTGCACCCCATACTAATGCCTGCATTTATGCAGCTGCAATCAGAGGATACACACAGACCTGGTTAGAGATCACTTGGAAGATTCAGGTGTGATCAGCAAAGATGTGAATGGATTTCAAATTCTGGTCTATCTTGGTGTTGGGGCAGTCATATGGATTTGTACAATTTTAGTTTGGATCCCATGCAACACACACACACACACAGCCTCTGCCTAGGGAGCAGCTGACATCATTCTCCTCTCCCAACTGAAAATTCCAACTGCCTTGGGGGGGGGTGAGTTTGAGGTGTGGAATGGAGTGTAGTCCAATCAGCTTCCATATGTAAATGACCTTGGAACACTGGCCGGGACTGCACAAAGCAGCCAATGAACCCAGCCAGTGTCTTCCGAGTGGCAGTTTTTTCAGCCTAACACTAAAGGGGCCAATTTTAGAACTTTGGCACCCACTATTCTTTTATTATAAGGGAGAGATGCTGGTTTCAAAGGGGTTAGCCAATTTGCTATTAGATAGAGCAACTGAAAGAATCACCATCATTTCCCTCAACGCTCCACTTCATATGGAGAAAGAATAAAAGTCTGTGCTGCCAGCATAAAGTGCTTGACTAAGGAATTCATGCAAAATTCAGTCCTGTCTATTGTGCTGTTTACTGCTGGGCTCTGGTGCCTGTTGTTTTGCAGGGTGATTGTGTGAGCATACAAGTGTGAAATGTGATTGATTTGTATGAGTGAGAAAGCCCTGGTTTCTGTTCCATCCAGCCATGATGCAGGGACTGAGGAGCTTTATATACATTTTGGGGGTGGGGGTGGGGAATGAGTTAGTTAGTTGGTTGTTATGGAGAATCCAGGTGGTGTTCCCTGAGCTAGCACCACCAATGTAGTTTTTTTTTGTAGGGAAATCATGTTTTTCTTTTATGTACTGGATTTACCACTTTGAATTTCATGAAAGAATAATCATTCAGCTGTGCAGCTTGTAATGTTTCTGAGTGCTGTGTACTGCAACAATGGTTGCAGTAGTATTATGAGCAGCTGTTGAATGGTGCTTTTTAACACCTGGAAGTAGTATCTTGCCATTTCAGAAGAGTGTTTCTCTACTTTCTGCCCACCCCATCATTTCACAGTATGCCTTGCACTGCAGGGACACATAGCAGTGCCAGTATCTTCTTGCCACAACTAGTTTTTTTTAAAGTATTGAGAAGTAGTATATTATTACTTTACTAATGTTTTGAGAATCTGTATGGGCAAAACTTGGGATGAAATTGCAGTTCCAGTAAATTTTGAAAATAAAGGAAGCTGTGTTGAACGTGGATGATTTTTAAAGCTTTTAGAATCCTTTTCCAGGAAACACCAGAAATTAGGTCCTATTACCTTTGTGAGAGCAAGACCATATAAATGAGGGTGCATTGGGACACATTGGGCTAAATCCAGCAACCCCTCAGTGCTTTATCCTGCTTCCAGCAACTGTCCTTTTTGACTATAGGAAATTTTATTTCCAGAGTTGTGGGAGGGACCCCTGTGGAGTAAGAGTCACGTGGGTCAGGAGGCTGTGGGGAAAGGGACTAAATTATTCTTCCTGCACCTTCTGTCAGCGGAGCTTCACTCACAGCAGAGGAGGAATGAAGACTTGCCCATTTCCCCCTCCCACTGCAGCCTCCTGACCTGGCAGCAATCCTTGTACTGGATCTGACCCATTATGCCTTCTTTCCTCTTCTTTGTAAAGCACCTTCTGTCAGTAGAAGCCTGCTGGGAGAAAAGTGAGGAGTGGTGATTTCACCTGATTCTCTCTTTGCTGCAGAATCCTATAGAGGGTGGCATTTTGTCCATGGTCAGTGATTTTTCAGGGGTAGGGGAAGTTCTGCTTCCATGAGAAGTTTATTGAATCCTATGCCAGGAGAACTATTCTACAAAATTACCTTAAAATCCATGTAGTAATGTGTCTGCATAGCACTCTTCCTGTGTAATTTCCATCAAATCTAGTCCATATACATAGTTTGAATAGCCCATTAAAGCCAGTAATGTTGTCAACTATTATTATAACCTCCAGGTGATGAACTTCCATTAAGTATTCGCATCTCTCATGATAAGCAAGACAAACTCCATGGTTGTTTGGAACATCTGTTTAGTCAGGTAGGGGATTTTATTTTCTGTTGCTTCCTGAATCAGGCCTATTCAGATTAAGTGATCCCACAGGCACAGGATGTTATGCATTTCTACTTTTGTATACTGTGTTTGCAAAAAACACCATTGTTCAGCTTTGGGACTTCTGTGCTCACCCCTGACCTTGAGTATTTGGTTGCCCATTCAGTGTTTATTTACTAATCAGTAAGATCAGTTAATTATTTTGCATTTAAAAATTGAGCACACTATTTCTTTCTGCATCTTACAGTCCATTATGTTTTTAATCAGTAATCAGAACTAGAGTTTGGGGATAGGAGCTTTGGGGACAAAATGGGCTCCTATCTAGTTCATCAAAGCTTATGCTAGGATAAAGATTTGGTCATCTTTAAAATGTTTACATCCCCTGTTTACTTCTGCTGCAACAGACAAAGCGTAACTACTTCTCTAGAATACTGTAATAACAAGGGAGTCAGCAGAGACTGAGAACACAACACTTGGAAAACGTAGATTTTCCAGTCCTATTTATATGTGTTTGCTCTAACACATGACCACCTCCAGAACTGAATCTCTGTATAGCTGAGGATGCCCTCCCCTTAAGGCCTTGTCGACTTACTTTCAGCAAGCTCAGGCAATTCATCCAAAACAAAAGTCTTGATATCCTCTCACTACTGCACAAATGCCTGCCACACCCAAAATCACACACATGGAACTAGCAGGAAAGCTGGCTCTGTGTCCGTTGCTAGGGCTGCTGAGGAAGGTAGTCTTTAGAGTTGCCAGATCTGGGTTGGAAAATTCCTGGAGATTTTAGGGTGGAGCTGGGGAGGGTGGGGTTTAGGGAGGGGAGGGACCTCAGTGGGGTATCATGCCATACAGCACGCTTCCAAACCATTTCTTCCAAGGTGCACCTTCCAGAGCAGCGATTTTCTCTGTCATCTGGAGCTCAGCTGCAATTTTGGGAGATCTCTAGGCCCCACCGGGTGCTTGGCAATCCTAGTAGTAGGGTTGGGAACCGCCAGGTGGCACTCCCAGTATTACAAGGGAGGAATTGATCTAAAAGGCACCTGATACCATAAATCAGGCATAGTTCTCTAGAGAACTGAACCGTTCACACATAATGAAGGATAGGGTTGTCAGCTCTGGGTTGGGAAATACCTGGAGATTTTCAGGGTGGAGTCTGTGGAAGGCAGGGCTTGGGGAGTGGAGGGACTTCAATGGGGTATAATGCCATAGAGTCCACCTTCCAAAGTGGCCATTTTCTCTGTTGCTTGGAGATCAGTTGTAATCCCAGAAGATCTCCAGCTACCACCTGGAGGTTGGCACCCTAACAGAGGATGACAGGTCAGAGGTTGAAACCTCTCTCATTCAGTGGTGAACGAATAATCAAAAGTGCATTAACATAAGGTAAACAACATACTAATTAAAGAAGAGGTGTTCTGAAAGTAAAGGATTATGGTACATGTTAAGAAAAGTATATTAAAGTTTCTAAAAAGTGGGTCCTGTTGTGTTGTTATAAAGAGAGGAAGGGGAAGGTATTGGCTTTCTTTCACTTCTGAATTCAGCCCCAGTGCTTGTAATAAATAACAATCACTTTTCTCATCAGAGTCAGTTCTTATTTCAGTAGGAATTACTCCCAGGTAAATCAGGTGCTGGCTGCAGTCTTAGACACAAGAGAACTGTCTCTGGGTTTGCCTTAAAAACAAACTAAAAAACAGAAATTTGGGCTAGGCTGGAGCTGCCAGAGTAGTCCAAACCAACAGTGGAGTAATCTGCCATAGAAGGGGGGTCCTGGGCAGCTCTTCCCTTCCAGGGTAGGGTCACCTCTCACAGCTCTTCCCCTTGGCTGGCCTCTTTTTCTCTTCTTGCACTCTGTTTCTTTGTGGATGCCATTCCTGGCTACCATGACTGATCGCCCCTTTGTCCTTCCCACCAGTCCACTCTTGGAATGCAGAGTGAATGCATTTATATACAAGGAACAAATATATTTATGCCAATTTATATTTAAGCAATAAATTACATGATTTTCTTTGGCATGAATTTTAAGTTTATGATAATTATTTGAATCCCCCTCCCCCATTAACTCAAATGCTATGCCTTTGCTTTTCACTTTCTCAGGGTTGCTTATTCAAAATTACCACGGGTAGTATTTTTGAGACTCAGTCTAACGAATGCCTTGATTTTTCTTTCCTTGTCTATGTCTGACATATATTATTTTTGAACATTTTCAAGTTAATGTTAAATTATGATTCCTTCCCCCAAACATTAACTAATTAGCTACTTTTGAACCACACAGGTAGACTCAATTATTAATCTTCTGAAAGGACCAGCTGTAGCGAGAGCTTTTGAGCAGACAAAGTTCTTCACTCCTAGTCGAAGCTTACAAGGTATTATTAAAGTAGAAACAAGGCATTAATGCCATTATTAGCACAGCATTTTAATGCTACAGGACGAAAATATTAGCATGTGTATTAAAAGGGATGTGAATCCAGAGTTTGTATGAGTATATTTTGCAGAATATGTGTATTTTTACAAAGGAAATTGTCTTACTTGTGCTGGCTTCTTTTATGTAGCAACCCATGCAGAAAGGATCTTGGGGGAAACATTTTCTTACTGTGCAAGGGTATTGCCTCTGAAGAAGATTTTTTAAATTTTAAATGCATTGGGCATTTCTTATTATTAGAATAAACCTCACTACATATTGAGCTTGCTTCTTGTTCCTCCTCCTCCTGTCCCCTTTCCATCTTTACTAGTGTAGGTTACAGCAGCGCTGGTAAATAGGCACTCATTTGGTCACCTGTGATAAGTAAAATTTGGTTCCATGTAACAAGTCAGGAGCAATTTTGAATTGAAAGATTGTCCTTTTAAAACAGTCTGTGTGCTGCTAATGATTAATATAGGTATGTCTGGGCAGGAGGGCCAGTTAAAATTCTTCATTTTTTTAGTGGCCTAGTAACTTTTCTGGAATTATTTGCAAGGTTGTTTATGTTTTTATGAGATATCGGCCCCTGCCACACGGCAGGGGAAAAGCCCTTTAAAGCGCGGCTTTTAAAAGCCGCGCCAACGTTGATCCGGCTCGGCGGGATCCCACGGATCCCCCGGCCGAGCCGCCTTTTCTCCCCGGCGCGATCAAACGCCGGAGAGAAAAGACGACTCTAACCGGGAGCCGGCCGATCTGCGCATGTCGGAGCATGCGCAGTTCGGCTCCGGCCCGGGGTTGAGCCGGCGCAAGGGAGCGCCGGCGATCAGACGCCCGGGAAGAGGCGCCTCATCCGTTTGAACCACCGAGGTAGGTGGTTCAGTTTGAGGCGGTTCTTCCCGGGTTTGGGCCAGTTTGGAGGCGGAAGCAGAACGCTTCCCAGATGTTGTGGTGTGATCGCGCTGCTTTGATCTGCCTCCAAACTGTCCCGTTCCCGGGCCAAATCGCCTCGTGTGAACGGGGCCATCCAAGAGATTCTTTTTCTGTAGTGTTGGATATTGTCATGTTGAGTGGTAACAATAAAGCTTGTAAGCCATACTTAAAATGTGAATCATTGCATTTTATGAATCTGAGTAAATAAGGTGGGATGCATCTGAAGTAGCTCTTTAGATAAATATTTTAATAACTAAATAAAAATACAAGAGTACTTATTCCCTATTAATTTGACTACACCCCCTCCCCCTGATTAAGGTAATATTATCAAGCTGAAGGCTCACCTTTAAATGTAAAAAGTACTGATGTCATGGAGTAACAGTAAGTGGCAATAAAGAATGCTTTCGTCTAGAGTTTCTAAGCAAAAACCAAATAAACACTGCTTAATTATTAACCAATAATGGTGTAACTAATAACGAAAATGAATAAACTGTTTGAATGTATAAAATCTGTCTATGAACTAGTTATATGAAAATATTAATTTACAGCATTAATGAAATGACCACAACAAAATGACAACACTATTCAAAATTAATACAGTGCTAATTCCAATGAGACAAATACAAACGTCCATATAATAGGAATTCAAAGGTGATATGCACAATTAATTACCCAAAGTTCTTAATGGTTGAGGCTATGCTAGAAAGTTTCAGGAACCTCAAATGCTGCTGATTGTTCCAGTGAAGTCCACTTCCCAGTGAGCTAATGAGAAGCCTAGGTCTGCTCCCGTTTCATTTATTCATTTTCTTTTTTTGTTACACCATTATTGGTTAGTAATTACACAGTGTTTATTTGGTCTTTGTTTAGATTATACA